TGCAGATGACACCAAGCTGGGCGGGAGTGTCGATCTGCTGGAGGGTAGGAAGGCTCTGCAGAGGGACCTGGGCAGGCTGGATCGATGGGCCAAGGCCAGCTGTATGAGGTTCAACAAGGCTCCGTGCCGGGTCCTGCGCTTGGCTCACAACAAGCCCATGCAACGCTACAGGCTTGGGGAGGAGTGGCAGGAGAACTGCCTGGTGGAAAAGGACCTGGGGGTGTTGGTCGACAGCTGGCTGAACGTGAGCCAGCGGTGTGCCCAGGTGGCCAAGAAGGCCAAGAGCATCCTGGCTCGTATCAGGAATAGTGTGGCCAGCAGGACCAGGGAGGTGATCTTCCGTCCTGTACTCGGCACTGGTGAGGCCGCACCACAAATTCTGTGTTCAGTTTTGGGCCCCTCACTACAGGAAGGACACTGAGGTGCTGGAGCGCATCCAAAGAAGGGCAAGGAAGCTGATGAAGGGCCTAGGTCTTTTGAGGAGCAGCTGAGGGAACTGAGGTTGTTTAGCCTCGAGAGAAGGAGGCCCAGGGGAGACCTTATCGCTCTCTACAGCTACCTGAAAGGAGGCTGCAGGGAGGTGGGGGTCGGTCTCTTCTGCCAAGTGACAAGCGATAGGACGAGAGGAAATGGCCTCAAGTTGCACCGCTTCACGGCATGCTCCCACTTACTGGGAGGACATCCCCTCCCTCTTTTTGCCTCCAGAAGACTTTGGACAGGAGGCGCGTGGGATGTACGGTTTTGCACAGGCCGAACTGACAGAAACATGGCACCCGTGTCAGTCCCGGCACGGATGCAGCACGGCTAAAGAAAGCTTTTGGGGGGCCAGGGTCTCAAGGCGTGCACTCATGCAGTACGGGCCACGTTTCCGGGAGGCCCGATCCGCAGCGGAGCGCTCCAGCGTGGTGTAGAGGGGACTCTCCTGAACCGGGGAAGCCTCAGGGGAGCAGAGAGACGTGGGCCCCGGCGTGGCCTCTCTGGCCCCCTCGCTTGCCCTTGCAAGGGGCAAGTTGGTAGCCAGAGACAGGAGCCACAGCTTCTTTTCCACTTGCACCAGGGACACAATTTGCATTTGGCTTGATCGTCAGGGTTTGCAGGGCGAAGTCCAAGAAGGAAGGCCTGAGGAGAAGAGGGAAGAGGAGTTGTGTCTCTGCCCAAGGGCTCGTAGCTCTTCTTTTCAAGACAGCTCGGAGTCAGACCACCTGGCCCAGAAACCTTTGCACTTCTCTGCGTAAGTGGGGGACATCCTCGTCCCCGTTTTCATGTCTGTTATGGTTTTGGGGGGCATCTGCCCGCTTTATCCAAAGAGCCCCTGGGAGCTCGCTCCTGCCGGGCAGGTCTGTACTCGGTGTGTTGCCCGGGCCCCGCTGAGTCGGGCGGTGGGGTGGAAGGCTGGGGCTTGCCGTCTGGGTGATGCTGCTCTGGTGGCTGTGACAGCATAGAGGACAAGTCACAATGGGAGCTGTCCCCAGGGACATCTCCAGGCAGCCCCACTGCAGTCTGCCTTGGGCGATCGGTGAGTGCAGCGTGCCGGGGGAAGGCTGGGCTGGATGGTGGATGGGGCAGATGGCCAGGGGGTTTCTAAGGCGGAGCAAGAGCCGAGCCCCTCAGGTCAGGGCACGGTACCGCCCTCGGGGCAGGGAGCAGAGGTGCTCGGGGCTCCCAGCGGTGGCAGGTGCCCAGAGAGGCTTTGGGGATGTGCCGGGTGCCCGTGGCTCCGTGGGACACTGTTGTGTGGCAGGGATGGGGCCCCGGGACACTCTCCTCTGGTGTCCCTTGCCCTTTCACGGGGCACAGCCCAGCCAGGGGCTGGCCATCAGGGTGGCTTGGCCAGGATGGGCCCCATGCTGTCTCCAGCTAGGGCCTGCGGCCCCTTCAAGCCAGTCGACACCAGTGCCCCAACACTTTCCTGGCACAGCCTGTGGCTCCCACCCGGGCAGTGCTCGCAAACCCTGCCCTTGCTCCCTCCCACCTCCCTCACCCCCTCTCCTACCGGCCCCCGGCTCCAGGCGGCTCCTGCCCCGCTCCCCCAGCCCCGTGCTCTCTCTCACCCAGCCCTGCTCAGCCCCCTTTTCTCCCACCCCTCCAGGCCATGGCTTCGGCAGTCGCCCTCGTCCTGACTCTGCTGGCCATCCAGCAGGGGATGAACCGCGATCACCAGATCGATGTGGCTGCGGCTGAGCGGATGCAGCAGCGTGAAGAATATCTGCATCAGCAGATGGCTCGGCTGCTGCAGGAGGGTCAGCAGAGCAGGGCCGCGGAGGAAGCCACGCTCCTTTCCGTGTTGCAGCAGTGGCCGTTTTGGACCATTGCAGGAGCCCTGGTCCTGATCGCTGAGGTCAGCTGGCTGGCCAGGGAAATCAAGCTGCCCTTCAACAGCCGCAGCGAGCACGACAGCTCGAGCACGGAGGAGGAGGATGACGACGATGAGCAGGAGGAGGAAGACTTCAGCGGCGCACACAATGTTGTCAGGTCTTTGGCTGTGTCCGCCCCATCGCCAATGCAGGGCCTGCCCGACACGTGCAAGGTGATGAAGAAGGTGGTGGATGACCTCCTCGGCGTCTGCCGACTGCTCTGCAAGGGGACTTCCATGCCACAGATGCACCCAGCTGTTGGCATGGGCGGCACCTATGAAGCCTGGGGTGTCCGCGACAACAACATCGTCTACTGCCTGCTCGTGTCCCTGCAGCCACCCCCCGGGCACTCTTTCAGCCTGGAGCCGCACACCACGGGGCAGCTGCCAGCAAGGCGCTCCAGCATCCACGTGGTGCTGGAGTGCATGTGCTCGAGGGAGCAGCTGCTGGGGAATACTCTGTGCTTTCTTCACCAGCCCGACGGCAAGCTGCGGTGCGATCAGAGCTCGTACCTGCTACGCACCCTCTGCACGCACTCCTGCTTAGACGTGGAGAAAATCGCCTGCTGGGCCCAGCTGTTGGTGAGATCAGCCTGGCTCCTGTTGCCTCAGTCGCACCACTGCCAGCTAACGGTGCTGCCTTCCTCCCAGTCCTGCAGGTTCCAGCTGATGAGCACGTCCAAGATGAAATTCTGCACTGACATGACTTTTGCAGTGCAGCAAGGCACCTCAGGCGCCTGCCTGAGCCTGGAGTAGGCAGAGGCCAGCTTTGCTAGCAGCACACCCTGGGCGGAGAGCTGCGCTGTTGTCGAGATGCGCTGTTGTCGAGATGCAGCTTTTCCGACCGACGGCGAGGCACACCCGGCAGGACAATTTCCACATCCGAGGTCTGCAGCTCTGCACCCGTATCCTGGTGGTCACAGGCTTTTGTACCCATGCCTGTGACCCTGAGGACTTCCTTTGCCCTCACACTGGTGGGGCCCAGGCGACAGTTTCGGACACTGGGATGGAGAATCTGCTCATCCCAGAGGCTGCCTGGGGAGTCTGTGCCATAGATCTGAGCAAACGAGGCATGGAGATGACACCGCTCAGGAGGAGCTCAGTATAACCAGCGTTTGGAGGATCTCCCCCGGTCCACCTGAAGATGGACTTGGGGCAAACCAACCCCTGGGAGCCCGAGAGCATTGTTGGGGAGCGATCCCCCGGGAAGGCGGACATCGTGGTCTCCAAGCGGTGAGCCCTCTGCACAGGGAACAAGCACCACGAGTGCAGAGCGGGGCTCTGGATGCTCTGCTTGCTGCAGCGGTGGGAGACTTGGGCACGAGCCAATGCAGAGCAGCAGCTGGAGAGCTGGAGGCAGAGCCAGGGCCAGCGCAGGAGGGAGGAGTGTCCTGCAGCACCGGTCACCTCCCCTCCTGCACCCCCTCATCCCCATTCTTCTTGAGGTTGCAGATGATACCAAGTTAGGTGGGAGTGTTGATCTTCTGAAGGATAGGAAAGGTCTACTGAGGGACCTGGACCAGATGGATCGATGGGATATAGCCAATTGTATGAGGTTCAACAAGGCTCCGTGCCGGGTCCTGCGCTTGGCTCACAACAAGCCCATGCAATGCTACAGGCTTGGGGAGGAGTGGCAGGAGAACTGCCTGGTGGAAAAGGACCTGGGGGTGTTGGTTGACAGCTGGCTGAACGTGAGCCAGCAGTGTGCCCAGGTGGCCAGGAGGGCCAATGGCATCCTGGCTTGTATCAGGAATAGTGTGGCCAGCAGGACCAGGGAGGTGATCTTCCGTCCTGTACTCGGCACTGGTGAGGCCGCACCACAAATTCTGTGTTCAGTTTTGGGCCCCTCACTACAGGAAGGACACTGAGGAGCTGGATCGTGTGCAAAGAAGGGCAAGGAAGCTGGTGAAGGGTCTAGAGCACAAGTCTTATAAGGAGCGGGTGAGGGAGCTTGGGTTGTTTAATCTGGAGAGAAGGAGGCGCAGGAGAGACCTTATCGCTCTCTACAGCTACCTGAAAGGAGGCTGCAGGGAGGTGGGGGTCGGTCTCTTCTGCCAAGTGACAAGCGATAGGACGAGAGGAAATGGCCTCAAGTTGCAACAGCGAAGGTTTATATTGGATATTGGGAAACATTTCTTCATTGAAAGGGTTGTCGAGCACTGGAACAGGCTGCACAGGGAAGCGTTCGAGTCCCCATCACTGGACGTATTTGAGAGACGTTTAGATGTGGTGCTTAGTGATAGGGTTTCGCGGTGGACTAGGTAGTGCTAAGTTAACAGTTGGATTTGATGACCTTAAGCATCTTTTCCAACCTAAATGATTCTATGATTCTTATTAGATAAACTTCATCATTGACGTGACTTCCCATTCATAATCACTTCACTACCGTTTTGTGCATTCTAGCTGTAGTTATGTCTTCTAGCATAAGCTTAGGGAAGGCAGGAACATTGTGGGGCAAGCATAAATTTACAGGACACCACCTATTTCATAAAAGAAAATTCCCCAGAAAAGCTCTGAATCCACGTAAATGCAAACCTGATTTTTAGAAATTCACAGAAACAAGCTACTTGATGTTTCCCAATGCTTACCAGAAGGTAAGCGTATGCATGCAGATAGCTATTGTAGAGCATCCCCAAAGCTTCCTGAAGGACACACTCCTCACTTTGATAGATGCTTTTCAAACAGAGAAGAAGAGAGAGGGCTCACTTTAGGTGTCCATTTATGGACATCTGCAGCTTGCTGGGTATCCAAAATATTTGAAGCTGACTGGCAGATAAGAAAAAGGACTTCCAGGAAACCCAGGACCTTCCAGGCCAGCAGTTTAAGGCTTGCTGCAATATCCCACAGAACCTACAATGATACCGGACTAGTACTAGACAAGTTCAACGTCTCATCTCCCAGCCCTATTCTCTGCTTCAGAAAGCCTCATGGTAGGATTTTTCATCCCCTTTGCCTCTGTCACTGGGGAAACTGGAACAGACTAGCTTAAGTAGGAACAGTTTTAGGTCAGCTCTAAACGCTTTTCCATCTAATGTCAGGAAGAAGAATTCAGATCTGCTTAAAAGGTAAAACAAAACAAGTGTACCAAAATCTTACATAATTTCTCACCAGTTGACAAAAAAAAGCACTTACAAAGGCTTAAATTTTCCTCAGTGTAAAGATGAGACTCAGTCACAGAGGAAAATTACTTTTTTTCTGAGGTTATCTAGCTAAGAATGTTCAGTCCAGAAACCTATGCTGCTTCTATAAATGTTTAGGGTCTAGAAAATGAAGCAACTGCTATGTGACCAGCTAGAAAATCATAAAGCTAAGACAGAACCCAATGCAATCCCACGCATGGCAATGAACGCCACAGGTTCATCTATGAGGCATCTGCCCACAAAACAAATTTTTTACAAAATGGTCTACTGTAGCTTCTCTTTCAGCAAACATACTCGGATTCAGTGATCAAGAAAAAAGCAAGCTAACTTTGCCAATTAAATGAGATTGACTGTGTATAAATGACACTAATAACACAGAAGAAAAGAAACAGCTCCTAACAGAACGCTTATGCATACAAATGATAATTATTAATAAAAAGTCTTTCCTACACCTCGACTGAGAACACAAAATAAAATGAGATTTAAAAGAAAACAAATGCTGCCGCCTAGGGAGCAAGATGGAAATCCACAAGTTCAAGCCCTTCATTCTGACTTGTCTCCCACAGGATTCAGGCAGCGGCTCCCCCAGTTAGGCCTCTCCCTTCTGCTCTTGCTCATGGTTCTGTGCCGTGCAGGATGAACGGAGAGGCTCTATACGAGTACAGGCTAACACTACACTGGGACCTAAGAGGAAGAGAGAAGTCTCTCCTGGGTGACTGTTTATGGCCAGCACATTTGGAGAGATTTTCTCCAATAGACAAGGGTTTTCAACAGCGAGCAATATTTTTTGAGCCTTAAATGTTTCCGTGGAAGCATGGTGGGTTTGGAATGTTTCTATCACACTCAGGAGAACTTCAGGATTCCCAGTCCTGAAAGACTGTGCCAGCAATTCAAGGAGAGATGCTTTCCTCCTTGTTCAAACAGAAGTGTGTTACCGCCTCTGGTTGAGAAAACCTGCAAACCCTTCAAAGAGTGCCTGAAGCAAAGGGGCTGAGCACTTCCAAACTACCCACAACTAAGCTGGGAGCTGGAGCCCAGCTGTCCCAGAAAACACACCTGCAGTGTCTGCTGGGCAACAGTGCATGGAGTCCAGGGAACATTTTGTTTACGTATGTTTCCTGGACAAATTTTTAAAAAAATATTTCCACAGGAGGGAGAGTTGGAAATTTAATCAATTAAAAAAGCTCTTCTTGTAGCTCAACCAGGGACAAAACCATTCAAATCTACCCTTCATTAGAAAAAGCCAATAAGACTTCTTCTGACCTTCATTTGACCTAGATGGATATCCGGCTGCACATTTTCCTCCCAGTCAGATCAAGACTGCGCTGATCCTGGGAAGCTAGAAAATATCATAAAATCATAATCTAACAAAATATTATCCAACCATCTGAGTTCAGACAGAAAAGATATCCTTTCATATGTTGTTTCACAATCATGCCATTCAGCTAGTATAACCCCTTGTTAGCCTCATGCAGATGTAATAAGCTAACAAGAATGCTCGGCATAAGGTTCGTCGATGTCTAAAGGTTAAAGTAACATCCCTCTATGTTACTGATTTTAGCTAGTTCGTAAATGCCATGAGTAGATGCCAGTCAACACTTGGAGTGATCAAAGTGACATATGGATTTTAATGCATCCGATAAATCAAACATGGTGGTCACCAAACACTGGTGAGTTGTCCTGTACTAGCCAATTTTTAATTTCAAGGAGGCTGGGATTTTATCAGCTCCTGGCAGAGCCAGGCATGGCATGACTCAATGCTATGCACCAGTCTCTCTGTTAAAGAGAAATACACCTCTTTGCTCCAGCTGGAAATGTGTGTTTAAACAGTTTGAAGAATAGCAAGAAGTATAAAGCACAACTTAAAATGCAACAGGAGAGAGCAAAAGGAAAGTTGGGCAATATAGCTACAGCAGTAGCTGTAAACTTTTTACTGTAAACTGTAAACAACAAACTTTCAGAACAGTTCCATCTGAAAATAATTCGCCTGGAGAGTGAATAACAGTAAGATATATGAAAATAAAAGTCAAATTAAAAGAAGTTTACAAAAAGAAGGAGATTCTGGGCAACCCCTGCTTTCAATGATTCTGTTTATTTATTACAATAAGAAGAGCAATGTAAAAAGTTTGAAAGAAAAATAATCTCGAAAGAAAAATAATCTCAAAAGAAAATAAATACTTCTGCTTTGGTTTAGAGGAAAAGTTAATGCCACCTGCTCCAAGGAGCTCTGGGTACCAAGACCGAGAGGGTTGCTAGGCCCAGTGCAATGCAGCTATGGCCTCAGGGCCTGGGTACTTCGTCACGCTCTGAGCCTGCTCAATCACCTTCCCCTCCAAGTAACACACTTCCAGAATCCAGGGACTCCAGAAATAGGAAGGATGGCAACATAGTCTGGCTTCAAAATCTTCCTTGCTGGGTGACTTCTCTGAGCAGCAAAGGCTAGAGTTGTCAGCAGTGAAACCATTCCTGCAGCTGGGTGACAGTTTTGGGAACAACTAGATTGTTTTCCAAATTTTGGGCAGAGCAGGTGGAAGTCATCAACGTCGACCCATTGTAGCCACTGATGCAAGACCCACAGGCTGTCTTTCCCTCTTCGCCACTTAATTTTGCTACTCTAGCACTCTGTCATCTAGATGATTTCCTGCCTCACCTGTATGTAAAATGGACCTCTAAGAGCATCACTGAAGGCAATTGGATTAAACCGTAAGAGTGAGGACTCCTTGTCCTAAGGCTTCATAGGAAGCCTAAGAATCCTACTCTAGAAGCATGAGATCTGCTCTTCATATGAATAAGACCAGCATTGTCCTAAGTGTAATGTATGATTTTAACTTAAAACAAAAATTAAGCCCGTCATATCGAAATTCACCATTTTTGTGAGCTATAAAGCTTCATAAACACCCAACTGGAGTACACTACTGGATTTTTTTTCTGAGATTGAGAAAGGATTTCTTTTGAGTGAGGATTAAGATATGATTACGCCTTTCTAGCATTGTCCCATGTGCACCACAGAATTCTGATTTAAAACAAAAATTAAGTCCACTGTACTGAAATTCTGAGACATCAACTTTTTGATCTATAAAGGTTCATAAGTGCCAAACTGGAGTACACCACTGGTTTGTTTTTTGGTTTTGTTTCTGTTTTTTTTTTTTTTGAGTTTGGGAAAGCACACAAGTGATGTTTTGCATTCAGCTCTGGAAGGATACAGTTGACAGCACTGAGAGTCATTTATTTTTCTACATTTTAGTTTTCATCATGGCAAAGCACATTGAGAAGATGGCACTATATAAAGCAAGAATATAACTTCATAATAAAATACCCTATAAGAAATGTTGAAACATTACTTAAAAATGTATCAAATGCCCATCAAGATTATTTCAGACCATGATAAGGAAACTTCTGCTCCTACATAGTAATCCTTCTCCCTTAGTCTTCACAGACAGTAGCGCAGAAGTTACCGTGAACTTGTGTTCACCTCCGAAGACTCTAATGTGTTCTAGGCATTCCCAAGCACAGGAACCATTCCACCCACCTTCTCTGTAGATCTCTACTGAATGAGAGGTCTCTCGTCTTGGGTAAGACTAGAAAGAAGTAGGATCCGTAATGTACATTTGCACTTCTTAACAAACCTTGCTGTCAAAATTTACCTGTGGGAATTGCCAAAAATTGTTGTGAATGAAGTCCAGATGTCAGGGGCAGATTTGGTGAGTAATTACATACAGTGCTGAATTCACCACTTTTCAAATACGCAGAAAAATAGGAAGATTTAAAGTCAGCTAAAAGGTTATATCTTAAGCATTCATGTGCTGGGAACGGTGCTCTAGTGTGATTACAATTGTCAGCCTACATGCTATTTTTTATTTGGATTCAGTGGTGCTTACAAAACCAGATATTTTTTCTGAGTTTTGCAAAAAACCCCACAATGCTATGCATACTTTTGTCAAATATACTGAAGGAACATTTCTATGACTAACAAGACTGGAGTTGTTAAAGTTCCTTTGTAAGCACAATTAGTTATCAAAATAGAAATACAAAAAGAAACAGCTTGTCATTTCCATCCATTTGTTAATTCATAGCATAGCACACAACTGCTTTGGCATTTGGTACAATTCGAAAAAGTGAAAATTTCCAGATCTGAATGTGGAAACGACAGCTGGGAGCACACAGGAACTTTCTCTAATGGCTTTGCCACCAACAGAGAAATTGATTTTCCATCCACAACTGATACCTTGTTGGGAGGCACTGGTCGTCTTTCTCTCTTCCACCCACATATTCATGTCTCCACGTGCCCGCTTTAATCTAAGCTTCCAGCCCTCCAGTTGTACCACACATAACATCCCTTCATCAATGATTAGTCTTTGCACGAAGGAAATGAAAGCAGGCATGTGCTGGAAGATAAGGATAGCTTCGACCCTTTAAAGGGTCTGTAAGACAAAAGCATTATTGTTTTTCAAAAGCAAAGTCACTGACCTGTAAGTGTTCATCAGGCATGAAGTGTGCCCATACATCGCTGCCCGCACTGCTGCTGCCCAGCAAAGCCTGACGAAGCCATCGTCAGGGGCCAGGGCCAGAGCACTTGCCTTGAATCAAAAGGTAGAAGCCATCCGTATATTACCAATGTGCCGTAAGACAACCCAAATACAATTCATTTCAAGGAACATGCAGATAACAGAGGTGTTTAGCAGAACAGAATGGAACAAACATAAGAACAGTTATGTGCCCATGTGCACGACGTGGGCAAAGGAAAGGACCGAACCCCAGTCCTCGCACACCCTCCCTGCAGGAAGGCCTGCCAGACCCACTCTGGAGTGCGCCCTTTTACACAAGTCTTGAGTTTTCTGATTTTGCTTTGATGTTTGCCATGGGAAGTGGCCTTTGGGTGCGAGCCCAGGGCAGTGACACTGGCACCCCAGGGTCCAGACCCAGAGGGCCGGGGGCCCCGGGAGCAGCGCGTGCCCCCTGCCCACGCCTCCACCGCTCCGAAACAGCCATTACTTGCAGCAGGAGCAGAGGGTGCCCAGGTCGTTGCCCTCCGCCGGCAGGACCTGCAGGTAGGGAGCCTGGGGCAGAGGCTTGGTACATGTCAGGCCGTCGTCACCAGTTTGGTAGCCGCCCCAGGAAACCCCTCTGGTGGCTCCCCAGGGGTTGCTGGCACCTGCGGGCTCAGATCCTCCCAGAAACAACGAGCCGCTGCTGCTGCCAGCACTGCCCGCGGCAGAGGTGCTGGGGCCTCCTTGCTCCCAGGTGCTGCTGTGGAAATGGCACTGGGTACCCATTCATTCCCTTCTCCAAACAACCGACTTACTGGTACGTAGTCAGGACATCTCCTTCTTACCCTATGATCTGTCTTGCATGAGAAAATAAATGGGGGTTCAGGTTCTAAGTGTACTATGGCTATGTTTATAAACGCTGGTTTTAATACAGTAACAGTACTTTGTTTAAACAGGCAAGCTTATTTATTAAGACAGGCTACATAGAAGGTACATTTAAGGCATTGTTTCCATTTGGACTGCTTGTGTCCCTCTCATTTTCTTGAAAAGCAGCCATCTGCTGCATCAGCATCTTCCCATCTTGAAAATTCGGACATCCTTTTTATTTTCACTGCAAGCACAAGAAAAATATTTTAGAAGAGAAGCACTACGCTTGAATTTAACAGAGACATTTTATAAAGCGGACTTTCCCATGTCTTTCTATGTGTTCAATTAAATGCAGTGATGCATTTAACTGCATCACTTACGGCAAACATTGCCACAAGGTAACTGTGATGCAAAGAGGTACGAATCACACACGCAGAGCGAGTAACTTACCAGAGACAGCCTCACTTCAGGCTTTGTTACCTATAAAAACCTGACAAAGCCATCTGCAAATCTGAGAAGTATCAAACCACATGACAAATCTTGCAGTGAGGACTAAAGCGTCCGTTACAAAGCGCTAATGCAAGTCAAACTTCACAGTCCCTGAAGTGGGAAACAGTTCTAAGGCTTACAGAATTTCCCCCTTTCACGTGGCAATTCAGCGGGAAGGGTGTGCATCCTGATGCACTGCTGCATCCCAGGCTTCACCAAAATTTGAATGTGTGGTTCTCTGAACATTGGAATCTTCTATAAGGAAATTTTAGCCAAGTGTCCCTTTGTTTGGGAACATTAGATCTTTTTTTTTTTTTTTGGAAGTCCCATACATGGTACTTTGGGGCATTCCATTTACAAATCTCAGTTTACCAACCAAGTGCAGATACAAAAAGAAAGTGATAGAATGCAAACTGCCCTAGATCTTCGGTTCACTTCCCTATCTTGATAGAATCAAGCTGGTTTACTCCTCATGAAATTCAAGAGGCTTATGATTACTCAAAAGCAGGGATAATCTGTACCAATAGTTGTATTAGGGATCTTCTAACCAGAAGGTAGTGGAGCAGATTAGGAATATGAAAGGAAAAATCAAGCCCAGGGGATGTAAAACACATGTAAAGCTGTGAGGAAAAGTTCTGCCTGAAGGACAGCCCTTAAGCTAAACCCTGCAGATGCAGCTCAAGCTGCTGTATCTGTTTCCAAAGAGCTTGTGGTGCTGCCAGACTAGGTTTAAATTAAGATCAGCTGTTGTCACTGCTACTGGACACTAAGTGTGGAAGGGACCTGGGATTTGCATTTGAGCACCCACTTTAGAATGGATTAGATTTATGCTTTTAAAACAAAACCAAAAAAAAAGGCAGGGAGGAAGACCAGCTTTGGTCTTACAGCTAGCGGGCTGCACTGCAGAACCAGGATGGACAGGGCTTCTGCTGCACCTTCGCTCTCCAGGTGCCCACACAGTCTTGCATGGCTAAAAGAGCCCATGGACGGTACTGCCTTGGCCATCAGGGAACTACAACTCCCTTTAAAAGGTCCTGCAATGGGCTTAAACACGGGATGGAAGTTACCTGCAAGTTGGCTGTTGAGAATCACCCCAGTTAATTTAGAACTGACTGCTTCGTCATTCACTATGGGATATGCCCATGTATCTGTTCCTACATCACCACATCACACTATTTATCTCAGCAACTACTGGTCATGCAGCTTGTTAAAAAGGGCAGAAAGACCTCTTTGTTCTCTCCTCCTAAGGAGTGTGATGGACTGTACCTTAAACTCCTTGAAGTAAAATGACCATTGCTTATAACTATGAACCATTTTTCAAAGCTGAAATTCTTCCAAGAAGACAAAGTGTTTTATCCTTGTTGTTGTGTTCATGCCAAGTCAAACACTTTAGAACAACAACTCCAGACTGAACTACAAAGCCACTGAGTACACCAACTACTGAATTATTTAAAAAAAAAAACAACAAATCAGGATAGTATCTGATCACCCCGTGCCCCTTCAGACCAAAATGCATGTTTCTGAGCACGTAAGATGCCAGCAAAAAAAAGATGGTTAAGATAAAAATCTATCATGTGTGTGTAACTGGATTAAAACCCATGTTTCACGCAAAACATGTACCTTACGTCTTATACTAATAAGACGTAAGCCCCATCATGAATTACTTAAGGAACTGAGTGGAAATAAACAGCAGGTTTGCCTAGAGAACCCTTTGTGCTATGTGCAATGCTGTATTCAGGAATCTACCATGCACCCATCTGGAACTGAGGGACCATGCCTAAAAAAGGAAACATCCTAGAAATGTAAGGCTGGATCTCAAAGCCCATCATTCTGCTCTGAGAAAGGATCAAATATCAATAAAGGATCAAATATCAATATATATTTAGGTCGTGAGAAACTCTCCTGCCTATATCGCCACGACATGGATTTGCACTCTCTACGTGCGATACTTCGCACTTCTCTTTTGACTTTTATTGTACTGATTTCAGTCCATTTCTCCAGATCCCTGGGAATTTTGATATTGTCCTGCACAGATCATTCTATCTCATGCCATTTTGCAAATTTTTATTATCTTGTTTCCGATATCCAAGTCATTGCAAAAATACTGAATTATACACTACACCTAAAGGAAATCCCTCTTAGTAGCTCTTTCCAGTTTGACTGTAAAATGCTGATTACCGCTTTTAAATGACAGCATTTCAAACTGCTGTGACTTCATCCTTTAACAATTTCAGCTGAATAACTATTTGTCTGCTTAGGTGAATGTCAAGTAGAGCTATGTAAAATGCCTTATTAATGTCATGGAGCAACACTTTCGTTTCTTCCTACTCTGCTAGGCCAGTTATCTTGCCAAAAAACTAAATCTCACAGATTTGATCAGATTATTTCTGACAAATCTGTACCAGCTTTGCTTACTCTTTTTTACCTCTGGCAGTCTACAAGTCAATTGCTTAATAACTGACTCCAACATTGTTCTAGGCAGCAAAGATGGGTAGGCTCCTAATATTTAACATGCCAGCACTTCTTTTCTCTCCTTTTCACAGATTGTACTGTGTGTGCCCTTTGATTCCCTGGTTGTTTGGTTTTTTGTTTTTTTTTTTTTTTTTCCAGACTGTAGGTTTACCCATTCTCTTTGCGATTTGTCATTTGCTTGGGTAGTTTGTGATGTACTCTGGTGAAAATGTTACCAAATTCTACAGATCTGCATCCCTTTAAACACACTTTGACACACTTTTGCACTTTCTTTAAAATATTACTTCCTTAAGTGTCCTTTGACACCTTTGACATTTTCCTTATTCTGGCCTATGTTCCCTCTATCCTAGCCATTTGGATTTTGTAAATTATCTGGTCACAATTAATCTTTCCTCCACCCCAAAGTCAGAAACCTCTAATTTTGTAAATGCCCATCACTGCTGTTGTGCTACTCTCACTTCTTCCCTCTGCTGGAAACAGAAATTCTGTTATTTCATTTTTATAAATCCCTTTCACCATCAAATTCAATTCATAAGCAGTTCATAAGTTCATAAGCAGAGAGCATGCTCTATAGACGTTTCCAGTCAATCATAATGGGGGTAACAATGCTCATTAAGTACTGATTTTCTATGTTTTCAGTTTGTTTTAAAACAATGATTAAATTATTAAAGAATAAAATACCCTCTCTCAAATATTAGGAGATCTTTTTCTTGATTTTTAAACAATCTGAATGGTATTTTCTCCTAACATTTGGCATTCTTACTCTTCTCTGTGAAAGGCAGCACAGGAGACTGGATCTTGAATGCAAACGTGTTGCAGTAAAAGCTGCATTTTGGGTGGGATATTTCATGTTTTCTGATGGACAGTGTAGAAGAGTCCGGCATTATATTTAATGGCAATATGGCACTGCATGAACGCGAGAGGTAACCCCACCCTGAGATGCTCCTTCTTAAGAATTACAAAAGCAAATATTCAGTACTCCCAGCTAACTGAATCCAGCCTAAGCCATTTACAGGTATCATGATAAAAGCCGTTGCGAGGGATTGACAATTGAGAAGACGCTGCTAAAACTGCAGTTTAACACAGTGTGAACGATCCAAAGCCAATAACCTATCAGTCAATCGGGATGTGAGGGTGAATATTTTGCTTGCGCAGGGGGAAGGTAAGGTTAGGACGTCAATTAAGTGACTACCTGTTTGAAAGGCAGAGCACACACTCGTTGGAGTAGGTCTCTCCATCGGTCCCACAAACGGGATTGTAGTCCCTTGGACATCCAGGCACACCATACTTGTAGCAAGCAGGCTAGGGAAGACAGGTACACAAGAAGTCTAAGATACACCATTTGAAAGACGTCTCCGACCAGCCTCTACCCGAGAGCTTCTGAAGAACACTGGCACACGCGTGCACGGAAAGGAGCCGGCACGCTGTTATCAAGTGCCACGTTATCTTTCATGCTCTTATGGGAATTTATCGCTTGAGGCTTGGCTCCTACTGCCCGGCACGGCTTGAGCTGCGGTGTCAGGACACATGCAGGCTACAAAACGCAGCTCCTTCAGGTGTGTCACGGCAGCGGGACGCGCGGATGGCGAGTCCCTGGGAAGGGCAACCAGAGCTCAACCTGCTCAGCGGCGGGCATCAGCAGGGCCCCTGCGCCGCAGCCCTTGGCGGGCGGCTGCCGGGCGCCCGGGCCCCTCGGC